AATAACCACAACATTTACTATGGGTTTACCTCAGTAATCTTAGTTTTACTGTGGTATTTGTAGTTAAAGCAAAATAACCACAACACTTACTATGGGTTTACCTCAGTAATCGTAGTTTTACTGTGGTATTTGTAGTTAAAGCACAATAACCACAACATTTACTATGGGTTTACCTCAGTAATCGTAGTTTTACTGTGGCATTTGTAGTTAAAGCACAGTAACCACAACATTTACTATGCGACTTTACCACAATAACCAAAGTTTTACTGTGGTATTTGTAGTTAAAGCAAAATAACCACAACACTTACTATGGGTTTACCTCAGTAATCATAGTTTAACTGTGGCATTTGTAGTTAAAGCACAGTAACCACAACATTTACTATGCGAGTTTACCACAGTAACCGTAGTTCCCTTCCGAGGGAACTTCGAACTGCATCCTCTAGGGGTCGCTATGGGGAACGCCTTCGGCGTGACCGGTGTCTGAAGCATACATCTAAACACAACAATGATATTGGCCGGCGACAGCCTATGACGTCACTACCGGCGCGACCACAGTATAAAAGGGCGCCGGTAGAACACTTCATCCTCTTCTTCGTCTTCACTGACCGTTTGTTTATGTTAAGCACGACTAGGAGTGCATGTTCTCTCACCAGAGGCTTTGCTCTGATACCCGCATTTTCACACGGCTCGCGTGTTGTGTGTGTGTGGTGAAGAGCAAGCGCATTCAGCTCTCGAGGGAGTTGGTTTCGCTCTGCATTCATTGTTTCTTGTGAGGGATAAGCATGAATTGAACGTGCTCGTCTCACGAGGAGACGGCTTGTGCTCATCGTGATGCATTCACAAGACTAGGGGGAAGTGAGTACTTCACCATTTCCCCGAGTTTGTAGATAGCGTTTGCATGAGTGCGTTCGCCTCTCGCGGGAATAGCGACGCAAGGCAGCTGTTTTCGTTCTCGCTTGATTTCTGAGGTAATCTAGCGCTTGGGCGGGAGCATGTTTAGCTCCCGCGGGAGCTGAATGCATGCTGCGCGTTGCGGTCACAGTGAGAATTGGCTGCCCATTGCCACAATTTGCGGTTAATGGGCAGAATAGGGAAAGGACCTGACGGGAAATTTTTCCCTATCAGTTATTTCCTTTTGTTCTCATAGGAATGTATTGTTATGATGAGGTGGCTGAGTTTCATCGCACCACAGATCATGCTCTCCGTGCCACTAAGCAGAAGGGCTCCTCGGGCTTTGCCTTCAGATGATGCCCCGTGAGCTTGAGTCATGCGCGGGAGCCGTGGTTGGTGAGTACGATCCATTTCATCTATCTATTGCTAGTTTATGTGAATTCACTAACTAGTTTCATCAGGACCTGCGGGTCCTCCATTCGGGTAAGCATTTTTCGGAGTATAATGCTTCGTGATGTGCTCCCTGATGTCCTAGCTGGTAAGCTGCCCCGGCCAGGACGTGCTACTCATGTCTCGCCCCGAGGGGTCTCCTGAGATTTGAGTCATCCTCTAAACCATCATGCATGTAAAGGCTCCTCTCGCTGAGGCGTTGAGGGGCCTAATACTCTTTTTCAACTCTGCAGTTGGATAGACGGTCGGGCCTACGGGACCTCCCTGTCACACTGCCTTTATGGTTGAACCGGTGAATCGCCCCTTTGCGGAATGGGCTTGAGTACGCTACATTCCCTGAGGTATGAGTGAGATGTGTTTCTGCGGAAACCCTTCCTGAGGGATTCGGCTCCGAGGAGCAGTAGCTCTTCATGCATGAATGGGTAATGGGTCCCGTTGTTTCTCAGGTTGTCTTCGGGTCTGGTTAAACGGGACCCATGCTCTCTATTGAGATAGAGAGCATGAGATTGTATTCAGCTTACAGACAGGTGTGGGAGCAATGGTGGGTGAGTATGATCCATGTCTTTTACTGTTGCTAGTTGTATATATATATGACTAGCTTTTTAATGCAGCGCCTCCTGTCCTGTATTGTTGCAACATCTCAGTCTCTGCTGAGATTCCTTTTCTAACATATTTGTTATACTATTTTCGTTCCTAGATGGAAGCGTTTCTTTCCTCTTCCAGCAAGCCTCGCAGAGGATGCATCACTTATGCTGATTGGCAGGATCCTGACGGCCTGACAATTCCGTGCTGGCTGGACTCCGAGTCGTTAGGCTTTCCCGAGAAGCCTCCTTGGTCATCATGTCCCCAGTATGGCGCTGCAACCTCAGGATCTGTGGGCATTTGATGTTTTTTCGTTGAGCTCATTTGGAGGCACTGTCTCCTGTTATGCTCCCTGGGCTGCTCGGTCTTGCCCTGAGGGGCTTAGACCTGAGCTTGGGTTGAGTCTGAGGACTAGCCTCAGTCTGAGGGCCGGGAGCGCTGCTCTCGTAATTCCAACAGGTGATCACATCAAGTAGCTAGACCTTTTTTTGTGGCCTCCTTGGTCTATCATTTATATGGCGAGGAGCCAGCAGCTCTCCCTTTTGGTGTGTTCGGAGCATGGTGCTCCCCTCACTGCGGGAGGGTCATTCCAACCAGAATGGAACGCTTGTTTCTCCTCTCTGTGGAGAGTAGAGAATCTTGGAGAGCTGGGCCTTCTGCCCCTCTAGTGCTCTAGGCAGAGCCTTCCTATTGTTAGGCCTCTTGGCCTCCCTGCTGGGCTACCTTCTTTGGATGAGCCTGTATGCTCCCCTCAAATACCGCTCCCAATGGTCGCGCCAGTAGTGACGTCATAGGCTGTCACCGGCCAATATCATTGTTCATCTGAAGGCAAAGCCCGAAGAGCCCTTCTGCTTAGTGGCACGAAGAGCAAGATCTGTGGTGTGAAGCAACTCAGCCACCTCATCATATCAATACACTCCTATGAGAACAAAAGGAAATTACTGATAGGGAGAAATGTCCCGTCATGTGCTTTCCCTGTTCTACCCATCAACCGCGAATAGCGGCAATGGGCAGTCAATTCTCCCCGCGATCGCAACGCGCAGCACGCATCCAACTCCCTCGAGAGCTGAACGCGCTTGCTTTTCACCACACACACACACAGAACGCGAGCCATGTGAAACTGTGGGTATCAAAGCAAAGCCTCTGCCGAGAAAACATGCATTCCTAGTCATGCTTAACATAAACAAATGGTCATTGTGAAGACGAAGAAGAGGATGACGTGTTCTACCGGCACCCTTTTATACTGTGGTCACGCCGGTAGTGACGTCATAGGCTGTCACCGGCCAATATCATTGTCGTGTTTAGATGTATGCTTCAGACACCGGTCACGCCGAAGGCATTCCCCATAGCGACCCCTAGAGGACGAAGTTCGAAGTTATCTCGGAAGGGAACCATGGTTACATACGAAACCTGAGACGTTTTACTGTGGTATTTGTTGTTAAAGCACAATAACCACAACACTTACTATGGGTTTACCACAGTATCCATAGTTTTACTGTGGTATTTGTAGTTAAAGCACAGTAACACAACACTTACCATGGTTTTACCACAGTAACTGTATTTTTACTCTATACTATTTGCAAAGCACAGTAACCACAATGCTTTCCACGCCTTTAATACAGTTTTGTTTAATTGTAATCCAATATTTTTTTTCTGTCTTGAAGTTACGTCAGATCACATACCCAGCAGCTCTTTAAAGAAGCCATCTCTTGTAAAAGTCTCTTTCTCTCTCTCTCTCTCTCTCTCTCTCTCTCTCTGCTAGAATTAACAGGGAACTTGAACTCAAAGCTCCCAATTCTGATCTTGATGAGCTGCCAAGGAGGCTGAACAAGTCCTTCAAAGGTTCAACCCTTAAAAGGTAATGATGCAGACATTTAGTTATAACTGATTTGCTTTAATGAACGCATTCCTTATTTTATGTGTTAATAATAACTTTCCTTATAGTCCTTCCTCTCAAATATTTTGGTCACAGATCATTTTTAACACACTGTCGACATGTATATGTTTCTCTTTGTTTCAGCTGAAAGGGAAGACCAAACGAAGACCTGTCATGGGATTTGAATTTGACCATCTAGTGAGTTTATTAAGACCAAAAGCTGCAAAGTCAAACATTTCCAATGGTACGTCTTTGTTGGTCTGAGCACTTTGACTGAACTTTACCGCAGATACATTTTTTCACAGCATTTGATGTTTATTATAAGCATGCGCTGCGGTTATGTTGTCTGCCATTTAAATGCTCAAGCTCTTTAAAGTCTGGTGGATTCTGATTACCTGTCAATGTTTTATTGTTCATCAGCTGGAAAAAAATATTCTGAAACTGATTCCAACGATATTGTTCCTCTGTGTCATTAAATGTTAACACTTAAATGTTCCTTTCATTCTGTTAAAATTACACACAAAATTATGCTTTTCTCTGCCTATTCTCTGCATCTTATTCCTTAAGAATATTTATTCTCTGTTGTAAGGTAGAAACAGATTTTACATGATGGCCTTTTCTCAAACTCTGAATCTGATGTATACAGATGAACTCAGGAGTCTGCTAGAGTTGCCAGGGAACTTGAGCTTGCCTTGAAGTATATAATTATAACTGCTTAATTTATTTATTTAGTTTAAACAACAATAATAATTAAACATGGGGTCAATAAATATTTTCTCGTTTTACAGCTGAAGATCGAAAACACAAAGAAAATCAGTCACAGCAAGCCAGTCAAACAAGTCCTGTTGGGGATGAGGAATGAACATGGCCTTCTTGTGCCCAAACAGAACAGACAGAGAGCTGAAAAGTTGCACATTTCCACTGGTATGTCTGTATTCAAGCAATGCAGTTATGTGTGGTACAACATTTGATGTTGATCTCCCAAAATACTTGTAAGGAATTTTAGCTCAGGTTTTCGTGGGAATTCAAATCTGAAGATTCAAAATCAACCTGATTAGAACTGATTCCAAATTTGATAGTTTACACCTTATCAACTGTTCGTCCAGCGAGACGTTAACATCAGTATATCTTGACAATTTGGATATTGTATTATCCCTTGGCCACAGGTTAATACATGCTAGTGATAATTTATAAGCTACGAGCTAGGTAACAAGATCTGGGCAAAGTTTTAACTTTAAAATATACAACACAAGACAATGATTCTTATAATGAAACAAGAGGTTTTATTGAGCTACTCTAAGGACAGATTAACTAAACTACTAAAAGCACACAAACACATTTACACACACACATACAGTTCAGAAGATGAGCGTTAACAGAGTTCTGAGGAAGTCCCAAAATTCTAGTACTTGTTACTAGTTCTTAGATCGCACCAAGAAAATCACAAAAGCAGAGATTTGTCTTATCTTTACTGCTTAAGACCAATTCAGCACAGGTTTCAGCAGATAGACGATTTTGTTTGTTACTTGCGTTTGCGCTGGAAAGCAGGGTTTCCTTTTCTGCCTGAGGGAGTCCCGTTGCTGATTGGCTGGCAATCTTCCTTGATGATGTATTTTGGGAAAAGCCCTCGTGGTGAGTGGGCAATGCTTGGTTACAGAGGAGCCTCGAAGTTCGTCTGAGAGAGTCTGAGTTTGCAAGACTTTGTTCTGCAGAGTCACGAAGCTTCAACGAAGTGTTTGGAGTTCTGAATGACCCAATCGCTTGATGGTGCAGCGTGTGAGTGCAAGTTTGAGCGCGGTCAAGACAAAGGCAAAAGAGCACAGATCTGTTCGTGACATTTGGTTTTAAGCGAGCCGATTTGGTCCATCCCAGAAGCGATTGTTCCAATCAGATATACGTCACACAGACAGGCCCCTCCCACAATAGTTTGATTGACAGTAGCGTTTCAGCACAGACTGGACTGGTGTCTTACCTTCGACCCACCCTGAGTGAGCTGTCATTAGTCCGCCATTGTTTCACCGCTGGAGCAGGTATAGACAAGAATGACTCCTAAGCGATTGAGGTGTTCTGTTGTTGGATGTAATAATGAACATAGCAGTCGTCATTTACTCCCGACATCTGAGCCGCTGAACTCGCAGTGGATTACATTGTTTCTGAAGGGAATGTGCCCCCGATCTACATAAATGCGTCTATGTTCGCGTGAATCATTCATGATCCAGCCTCATCTACAGAAGAAGTGAGTATAATGTTTTGTAATGAATCTTTGCAAATCGCCTTTCCTGATAATGTGCTAATTAGCAAGTTTCACGAAGAATGAAGCTAAAGTGTGTGGTGTAGAGTATGGGATTGTCGGTCTGTGTCAGTTGGTTTGGTTTTCCCCCTTTTCCTGTCGGTTGGAGCCCTGGTGCCTCTTTATCTGGTTTCGATGGACCAATCGAAGGACTGGCTCGCTGCGCCCTTGTCTGATTTTGATTTGGTAGGCAACAGGTGAGAGCTTGTCTACAATCTCGTGGGGTCCTGTCCAGTGAGGTAGGTATTTATTTGACAGGCGATGGGGAGCATTCTGCCTTGGTTGGGCGAAGCTGTAGTACCACACTTTGTCTCCGACATTGAGTTCCCGGTGAGAGACCTTTTGGTCGTAGTATGCTTTACGACCTTACGCGCTTCTTTGGAGTTGTTGTTGTGCGAAGGCGAAAGTCATTCTCAGGTGCTGATGCAACTCTTCCAGGCACTGGTGAGTGGTGTAGGCGGTGACGAGGTTCATGTCACCAAGTTGGTACAGCAGGTGTAACGGTAGTGTCATTTGTCGCCCCGTCATCATTTCAAATGGGGATACTCCGGTAGACCGGTGAGGGGTGGCCCTGACGGCCATCAATACCAGAGGAAGCTTAATATTCCAATCCTTTTGATTGGCGGACACATACTTCTTCAAC